GCAAAACTGTGCAACAGGACTTGGTTGAGTACTGTTAGGACCACCAATAAACACAGTGCCCTGTCCTTAATACCATCGTTCCTATTAAACTTTTGTGTTGATTTTCAGCTTTATTGACTCACACGTATGCCTCTCTGTGTGCGGGAAAAATGGAAAGATCAGTGGCTTCGAGCCAAATTCATCTGAAGAGCTCGCCATCCCCTCATTGCTGTCCGTCTCAGTCTCTTTGCCACATTGCGACAGCCAACGGCTCCTCTGTGCTGTATTCTAAGCCCTAGTACGAAGGAATGTGTCGCTCTGTTTGCCCCGCACAGAGTCTCCCCGACATGCCTGTGTGCCGTCGGACCGGCTGCGGTGGACGCCCGATACAGGTTTGTGGCAGCGAGTTCCGGCCGGGCGGGCGGCCATTGTCGCACAGTGAGACACAGCTGAGGTGTCCACTCACAGTGTGACGCCGTGACGGCCTGTGGTGACAGACAGGCAGATCTGCGGCCAGGATGGAGCTGATACGCTGAGTGTTTTGGAGTCTGGAGTTACGCGCAGGCCGCATACTCCTCCACAGTCGGTTTGCTTGACGATGGTACCTCAGACGCTGGCGATAAAGCGATGCCCTTGTCGCAAATCTGTACATTTGCTGTTTATGTGTGCGCTTGGACAGGATTTTGAGCCGTCTCAACTGAGTTTCAAATTAACCATCAGCGTGATTTCTCCAGATCCTAGCACATTCCTTTCGCAAGACACGACCAGCTGATTTCAGCAGTGTCACCTGCCCCGATATCTGACCAGTTCCATCCAGCTGAGATGACAGTGGTTCAAGCCTAGCCACCGCGCCGGTCGGTATCTCGATGGTGAATCTCCGATCACTGCGTGTCCCACACGACGCCGGGTGTCCAGGGGACGGTGTCGGGGGCGGGAGCCGCCAGCACGCGTCGTTCGGACCTCCCACCGTCTCCAGCGTCTTACCGAGGACCCGGGACACCGGGCCATCGGCCCCAGTCCTGATTGATGGGCGGAACGTGCGGGGAGCGCTGCAACACGCGCCCACCGCACACGTGCAGCCGTCAGAGGAGCATTGAAACGTAATTCTGACAGTGACTCTGTGTGCGTGACAGTACAGGTGTAAAGATGTCAGTTCCTTATCTCGTGCTGCATCGTAACAGTGCGGCCGAGAGGGTCTCAAGATGTTTTGGATAATCAATCACCAGAATTTCCCAATAAATCACCTTTGATAGCATCTGGGGAAAAATGTAATCAATGGAGCTTACACTTTTCCCGTCAGATTTAAATGCCGCTTAATTGGACAAACGAACATTTATTTTGAGTAGTGAACGCTGCAAACACTTTTGTATGCACGTTTCTGCGGATCAGAAAATGTTAAGCCATCCTTCAGACAGTAATAACTCTCAAACGAATGGCCCATCGCTGCAGCATCTACCGGCCCCTGATCGGATTAGGCTCCGCTGACGAACTTAAGATGAAATTCATGACACCATACTCCTGAAGTAGTGCCACTTTGCTGCCATTTCCACGGCAGCCTCTGTGTAAGCACATCACGCAATTTGCTTTCTCTTTTTAAAACAAACTCGTGAGAAAATACCACATGTGCTTTGTGCCTTTTAGTAGCAATCAGTACATGTTCCAGCGTCGGACTGTCAAAAATCTGTCCACCAGACGGTGCCTAACCGGACAAATATGTCATTAAATTTAACGAGCTGGCTGTGGTTGCTCTGGTCAGATTCGTCATCCGAACCGACTGCCCCCCCCCCCCCCCCTCCCTTCCACTGCGCCGTCCCTGGCTGCAGATGACCACCTGGTCCGCCCGGTGACAGGTATGACGTCACAGGGGGCGGGGCGGCACCCCCGGCGGTCGGACAGTCATCGGAGCGCCGTCACCGTCACTTTCCTGACAGAGGTGCCGGCTCCGACGCCGGGCCGTCGCCAGTCTTTCCTCCGCTGCCAATCATCGGCGGGCCCTCGCGGATGTGCCGGTGTAGGACTGGGTGGTGAGGCACGGAAAGCCACCGCAGGCGTCCGCTTTGAATTCATCCGCGGTTCGGCGATAATCCGCCACCGAAAATATGCGGTCGTTTTCCTGTTTTGAGGTGGGCGCTGTCTGTCTGTGGCTTATTCTCGCTGAGGAGTGGATGGACTGAGGAAGAAGACCGGTCACGTTTTGAAGGGTTTGGAACGGGAGGTAATTTGGTATTGAAACAGGCCGTGGCCGATCCTGTTAAGAACCGTTCAGGATCCATCTTGTCTTGTCCACCGTAAGGCATGTTACCAGGTTACCCTGGGTCGTTTGCGATTGCAACAGATAACAACGGTATACAATACATTTGACTCTGAGTTCTAGAATCAATCTGCAGCTTTTACGGGTGAAAACAAGAGCTTCCGCCTTCTCCATGTGTTGCAGTCATCACCAGACCTGTCAGCTGCCGACCATGCTGGACTGTGTGCCACCGTCACCTACACCACCACCGCCTCGGACGTGCCCGGCTCGTCACCGTCCGACCAGCCGGACCGGTGTCTTTTCACTTTCCTCGCCGTCCAAATAAAGTGTCGTCTGATGCTGATACGGCACGGACCAGTCCACAGGGCCGACGCCAGCGTGGTCGGGTGGTATGACACGCCGTGTTGGACTGGAGCGTGGCTAAACCGCGGTTCCAACAGACCCCAGCGGGCTGATTTAACCGGGGCCAGAGATGGAGGTAGAACAGACCACAGCAGCTGGTCTCTCTAGACCGGGGATTTCAAGACCAGCAGTGGCCTGGTCCGGTCGAGAGTGAGCTCTGAACAGACCACAGCGGGCCAGTCTGGCCCTCACGAGGACCGGACTGCCGGCCTGCCGAGCTGCCGCGGCGGTGTCGGAGGAATGCTTGCACAACACGCGAGGACGCTCGCTCTCACCCAGGCCGCTAATCCGACCGGGCCCTGTAGGCGGAACACCACTAAAAGGCTCCGGTGTTGGTAGTGCAATGACATCAGTCTCATGTCCGACTAATCCCCGGCTGAAATAAATATTCAAATTGTCGCCGTAGTGGACGCCCACTTTCCTCTAAGGACTGCATCAAGCAGCGCCATTCGTCTTGTAGCGCGCGTGCCGGCGCGCACGCACTGGCTGATCCGCCTGCGGCCCGGCCGGGGGTGTGTAATCGTCACCAGATGAGCATTTCATCACCGACGAGCCGGGCGTCCCGTCAGGCTGTGACACGGCATGCAGCGCCGTAATAACGCCACCATTAGCCCGGCTGCATGTATGAACAATGGCCGGGCGGCACAATTACACGGCAATTGTCGACGGCTGGTGAGGGCCGGCGGCGCCGGGAGGCTCGGGGAGGCGGCTGGCTCTCCGTGTCTGCAGCTGGAGCTCCGGCGGCCCACTCCGCCGAGGGAGGCACTCGAGCGGGTAGAACTCACATGACCCTCGCCTGGTCGCAAATATGATGCGACTTTTACCCTTGGGAGAAGTGTTAGGGGGTGTGACACAGTTGATGAATAGCTGGCTAGAATTTTTATCTTTAATTTATATCCCTCCCCATTGATGCGGCAGTCTATTTGTGCGAAATTCTCCAGATCTAATAGGGAGCCGGGACCTCATCTCGGGCGATGTGTCGCAATGCAGCAGCATTACGATCGGTGCCACCGCTGGCCGTCACAGATGGCATCTGCCGGTCTGATCTGACAGTGCTGCTCCGCACTGGCCAGCTGCACAGTAGCCGCAGTCCGCCGCCCTCCCGCCCGCCCGCCGCCCGCCGCCCGCCGCCCGCCGTGCAACGCGCGCCCTGCCACCTCCGCCGCCAGAGCGCCATGCACGCCGCAGTGTCGCGGCGCGCGGCCAATCTGGCGCTGCGATCTGAACGGCAGCCGTTAGTAGCGACAGTGGCGTACCGCAATCGCCATCAGCCGTCGAAACTGTCACAGAGACACCGTCGGGTCCGGTGAGCTGCCCCGCTGCGCTGTGCGGCCGGCACGAGGTGCTACCGCGGGCGGCGCGAGGTGTTACCGGGGGCGGCGCGAGGTGTTACCGGGGGCGACACGGAATTCTACCGCGCGGGCGTGGGCCGGTGGTGGACCTGGCACGGCGCGGCGCCTATTTTTCGCCTGTTTTCTGGGTGCATGTCGGGACGGCGCGGTGTGCATGTCGGGGCAGCGCCGCGCCGGGGTGGAGCCGCCCGCCGGCTGCCTGGTAGCCACCGATAGGATCGATGGTGCTGCAGCCTGCCTGCTGAAGGGCCGTCACACGGCAGCACGACGGCCCACAGTAGACGGGCGGCTGGACTGACAGACCCTGCTGGAGGGCCGCCACACGGCGGACGGTGGACCACAGTGCACAGACACTGGCTCGAAGGCATGGGCAAGGCTTGAAGGTTAGTCAGATGGCCACGTAGCTGAAAAGACTGGACCGACGAGACGAGCACTCTGGGACTTGGCTGGATACCTGAACTAAAGACTATGCTGGACGGCCGAACCGGCGAACACAGCTGCATGGCTGGAGAGGCTGGACAGTTGGACGGATTAGACCTACGGACATGAATGGACGGACAAACCTCACTGGACGACTAGCGGATGAAAATAGCAGTGGAAACACCAGATCCGAATGAGTCAGAGGCTTATCCTACTCCCCCTCCAACAAAAAGAAAGGAATTCTCACTGGTCTGAGCTTGGTAAACGCAGCTTATATGGCATGAAAGCGAGTTCTCCAGTAAAGCTTCCATATTACGAGATGCATGATCCTCCTTACTGATTAGGAGAGAATTATCTAGAATACTTTAATGCGAGCTAAGGAAACTGGTCTTGTTCTGGAAATGACTCACTGACTCCGTGGCCCCGTGAGCCAACTCTGTGACTATCTAGCTCGATGGCCACGTGAGATAGATTCCGCCGTGTTAATTGTTCTGTCACACTTTGAACACCAAAACCTGTAGCTATAAGTACCCTTCTCACATTCCGACTCGCTAGTTGTGTCACTATCCCTCCGCCCGCTGAGCTGGGCGACTCACCGGGTCCGGTGAGCGGGTCCGAGTCGTTGGCGGCCGCCCACGTGCAGAGCAGACACTCGCCACTGGCCTGGTGCAGCCGCTCCACGTACTCCTGCATGTACTCCGGTACCGGCGGCGGCGGCACCAGCAGACGGAAGTCGGGCGGCGGCTCGCAGCTCCAGTCGCCCGCGCACGCCGCCGCCGCCGCCGACCCGCCCGTGACGTCATCAGGGTCACCGGTGACGTCATCGGCGGCTGCGGCGGCCAGCGAGCCGAGCCACAGCGCGGCCGGACCCTGCGGGGAGGGGGGGGAGGGGTCAGGTTAGAGAGGGGGTCACGGCATGATGAGAACCTCAGGCCTACGTGAGGGGTCAGAGGACGAGCCGCAGTGGCATTCGTTCTGCACAAATTTACTCTTTCCACGCTCATCCTGTCATGTAATATGGCACATGACAGTCTTTCCGACCTGCAATCTGTCCGATCTGTCCGGCCGTCAGTCTGTGACCACAGTCTGTCCAGAGTGCAGTCTGTGACCGCAGTCCGTTCAGTCTGCAGTCTGCGACCGCTGTCTGTCCGGCTGTCAGTCCCAGCGTCTGCCGAGATATCTCCCCGGCCATCTCGGCAGGGCAGTCCTTGTTACGGCGGATTAGAGCGGCGGCATTTATAAAGTCGGCGTCAAAACACGCCACCCGGCCGGCTGCCGCGCCGCTTCTGCACACAGACACAGACAGTTGCAAAATCAGACGTTCGCGGACAATTTTTGCTGACCGGGCGAACAGTGCAGCGTGCTGGCGAAGATAACATTCATCGGAGCGTCACTGTTCGATTGGTCACTCAGGGCGTCCAGAGACACACGGTGTTCTAATTTTTGGTTTCAAAAACCGCTAATTCAGGTGATGGTGTGACCATTGACCACCCCTGCCAACCGCCGAAGCTGAAGTGTAAAAGTCGATTTGCTGTCTCTCAAGTCTCAGAGTCAGTACGAGCTATCCTTTGAGGATGAGTTGAAATATCCAGTAACGAGGTGAATTCAAGGTCGTCAAATACAGTAATGATGTAGCAAAATGTAGACACCGAAACCTAATAGTGTTTTCAAATTGGACATGTGCTTTTGCAGGCTTGGAGCTCATTGTGCAGATTCCGATAGTTGACCATCGTAATTTGCACATAACCTTCAGTGCATGTGGATAATTTTTCTGCCTATTTTTAGCACAACTCGTTTCGGGTAATGGCTTGAGCTGTATTCTAAACGATCACCTGCATATTTTGGGGACTTCTTATGAGACTCTCCCTTATCAAACCGGAAGCGAGGAATCGTTTGCAAATTCTCCGCAACGCTCACGTGCGGTGACGCCGCCAAAAATTGTCCGGCGCTCAGTCGCCCATCGATATACGGGGAAAAGCGGTCTGAGGGCCAGCATTCCTCGGACGGCTGATCCGCGGATGATCGGCTCCATGGAGCGGGCGACTTCCAGCAGTTCTTCCACAGAACTCGATGGCCGGTTGTCCTGCCGGCGAACGCCAGTGATATCGATCTGGAGGCGAAAAATCGCAGATTGGGGATCGTGCAGTGGCTGGTCTATTTGGTGGAATGGTTAACAGGATGGCATGGAAGCGTGTCGCTCTGGTGGAAGCTTTGTCCAGTGTCCTCTACTCGAGTGGGAATGTTGTTTGATGTGTCAAGTTGGCTGCCAGTTGAAATTATTGTGTGACATTTGCAAGCCTATGCCAATCGTGCAATGCGGTCATGTTGCCCATGTAGCACAGTCATCGCGACAAATTTATCGGCAAGTCCCTTGTTTAACCTTGGCATGCCTTCGCCTGTCGGAATCAGCACTTAATGCACATCGAACACATGTTTGATGCACGCGATCAGGGTGTAGACCCAATCAAACGGCGACGCCCGGAGCAGGGCACCGGCCCGATATACCACCAATCGACATAAGGAGGTCGTGTGCACTGTTGATGATACCGTTATGCCGGTCGGCGCACCACACGTGGCTGTTGGTTCTTTGTATCGGAGGACGCCTCAGTGACCGGGGCGATCGCATCCGCTACTGGTACTGCACCAGAAAACGGCAGTGATTTGGCCATGGGACTGGGAGTGCCGGGCTGAGCCAGCTTTCAGAGCTGTGCTGAACCAGCTCACAGAGCTGCACCTAGCCATATCACAGAGCTGCACTCAGTAGCGGTCTGAGCCGCAGCTTCTCCGAGCTCAGACCGACTGAGCGACAGGGGAATCTGGAGCGGACAGCTCTGTGGCTGGGGAGACCAACCACAGGCTTGAGCGAAAATAATCATAATAAAACAAATAAACTGCACGGAAGGATACCATGCACTTCTCAGTCAATCACAGCTGATTCAGTGAAGCTGGGTTATGAAGCTGGCATTGAAATGTTTAGGCATTTGAAGATAAAATCTGCCTCAGTTCCGGCCTGAGCCCTAATACCAGCCAGTTAATTTATCCTCAGCCCATCCCAGTCCCAGCACTTTCCCCAGTGCAGTCCCGTGCTCTTGCCACAGCCCCTACCCAAACCCCACCAGGAATGTATTGAACAGACGTCGTGCACTGAGGGTATACCGTAAGGCCCAGAACACAAGGAAAACAGATGCACTGGGGCGATAATGCGACAGTAGTCCGGTCAAAAAGTCCCGCCAGGGCGCCGATCAGTGACGCCAGCTCGTGGGGACAGTTTGCTGACAGCCCAAACGGAGCTGACGCCTGTTTTACTCGTGTTTTGTTCAGCTGATACCGACGAATTCGACCGTTTTGAATAGACTGATTTTGAACCGGAATTTCGATTGACATGGAAGGCGCCCAGAATTGAAAATTGTCTTGGGTCCATGGGCCCGACGCTGCGCCTAAATGACAGGTGTAGATGATGAAAAGAAATGAAAATGTCCATACCGCCTATTTGACTTGTTCAGATCATCCCAAGCAATCATTTGCTAGGGGCATTTGATGCTCTGTTTCTAAACACGTGCACGGAGTCATCCTAAATAGGATTTGTTTTATCCCTGGTGCATACAACTTTCCGCATAGCAGACAGGCTGATCAGGAAAGGTTATATCGTGCCGGTAAATTGAGCATGCTTACTCAGGCAACATCACTGGGAGGTATGAAAGGCAAAGGCTAAAGGTATATGTTACGGTTGAGAGTGTGTACTGTGTAGTGTGTAGTCTATGTCACGCGACATTGAAAAATACAGTTGGGGAATGTCAGTTCGGTCATGCTTAGCCATGTGCCGTATGTCATCAGCTGCATGTCATCGCCACCGTCCATTCGTGTGTGTATGGTTGTCAGTGTGTGTATAAAAAAGAAAACGCGAAAAAGATATCACTTGAAATGGTAATCAGCAATTAGCTACGTGCGTAGTTATATCATTAAAAGGGCAGTTTCAGCTGATGACCAATATTTGGAATAGGGGTAAAAATGTGCCAAAATCGATTAAAAGGGCAAAACATGAGTTTTGTTTTCTAGAGAAGCAGACAAATTATCTTTATATAAATTGTTACAAGCGCTTACAAAACAATGAATTTCTCACTTCCCATTCTGACAAATCATGCTAGGACTGCCTGGTCAGAATACCCAAAAAGCGTTGGACAAACGAACGTCGGGCACCATCAGACAAGGACCTGAAGCCATCCAGACCAACCCCGCTGTCTGGTCTGCGTCTGACCCGAGTAGAATACCACCGCCGCTGCGGACCGTCCCTGCCCCCAGCACGTCCCATTCCGCGGCGAGCCCGCGGTATTCTCCATAAGCCCCTGTTGATGGGCTCGGTGGCGTTCCAGCGCCGGTAAAATCAGACCCCGTCTCGTATGGAAAGAACTAGATCACGATGTAAAATAGCACCGTGCTGCAGCATTGGCAGCGCTCGCCTTCAGCCGGAAACCTGGCGGGAGCTTGTATCAATGATAATCCCTGTTCTCATCCGTTCGCAATTCCACTCGGTTTTATCTAGCTGGTCTGGCGATCAAACATGCCGCGGCCATGCTTCAAGCCAAAGTTATGCGGATAAAACCACACAAGCATGGTCACATCACGTACAGAACAAATGATTCAACTTCATTATTCAAACCGGTCAAATAGTTGAATGGAGCGTTGATGGGTAGTCGTTTGCTGCACCTGTGCTTTATGCTCTGTGCCGAAAATGTGAACAATACTTGTTCTCTCAATAATTAAACAGAAACGGAATCACGTTTTTGACCCTTGAGTGCAATTTACAGCTTGCTAAACATAATGAATAAATGACAACTATTGTCCTTCTCTTTGTTCGGTTAAATGTGACACATAAGTATTTGCCTTTGATACGGTTGTCATTGTTGTTTATCATGGGTAAACAGCATTCCATCCGATTCTTATGTTGTTATCAGTTTCCTTCACGACCGAAGTGGATGTCTTCGTGTGAATGTGCACTGTGCAGTGCTCGTCAACTACAAAATCTCAATCTATGTCTAGATCGAAGTCTAGATCGAAGTTCCAGCGGCCCTAACAGTGTCGCTTCCACTCATACAAAAACAATATCAAAAGTGTCCACTTTCATCCAGCTAATCCAACACAAATATGGATTTGGAACTCTCGTTACGCTCAATAAAAGTTTCAAACCCGTGACTGCTAAGCTGAGAAAGGGAATGTCCGACAAAATATTTCAACCCAGCGCTGATATCTGTTGAGCTTTTTACATAAATATTTTAAGTGGCTCCGCCGTGAGCTCCATAGAAGTTGGGTTGAAAATCTTGGATAAAATCTAGTGAAATCTGTGGTCAAAATATTTTGAGATATCAGGTGAAAGCTGTTGACAGTTCTGTCAGTGTAACAGCAGAAGCAAGATGTTCTGACCACAGTGACGGGGTAGGTGAAGTGCAACCGAAGACGTTTGTGGTGACTAGTGAAAGTTGCAAACCCTGAGGTGGTCGACAAGATCACATTGTCAATCAGAAACTGAAAATAGACGTTGACGTTTTGCCCTCAGGGAACAGCTAAGCTTAGAGAAATATGCCGTGCAGAAATAAACATGGAAAATGGTTTGGTTATTTCATGCTGACCAAATAGGAGCTATATATGTAGACTAGCTGAAAGTATACAGCTGATCCGAGAAACTCATCATAAAGAAGACGAATCCACCACATATCTTTCATGTTTTGTGAAAAATTCAGCTTCAGATAATTATCCCTCGGGGATCTCGGGGCTATAGAAAAAAGGTGAGCCCGGCCAACCGTGCTAATTTGATGAGGCTACGTGAACACGCGAGCAGCAGAGTTCAAGGGTCCGGTTCGCTTCTAGAATTCCTC